GTTTTCCCCGCGGGCAGCGACCTCAAAGTCTGCGACATCGGCGGTTGGGGGAGGGGGGGGGGGAGGGCGCACCCCTCCTCGTCATTCTCCATCGCAAGCCCTCCACTCTTTCCTATGCGGTGCAGACCAACAGCCGTCCGGCGGGGAGAAGGCAGGGTGTCACCGACAGGAGCGCACCGCGTAGCACCACTGCTTTCCGCCGCCGGCCGCCGCGAGGGCGCCTCTGCTGGTCGCTCTTGCGACCACTTCCAGGTGGCCATACACATGCACTCCTTTGGTCCAGGTGGTGTCCATGGGATCCAGGTGGCTGTACACGTGCACGTCCAACGTGCGGATGGTGTCCACTTTTTGTTGAGGGGTCCAAAATAAAGCGTCCCTGTCCATTTCAGGTTGAGAGTATTAAAACAAGCCGTGATGTAAAAGGCTTGTTTTCAGGTGTTAGGTTTGTGTTGCGTAGAGTCATGGTTATAAGTTGGTTAGGCTGCAGCTCGAGGACAAGCTGCATGTCGAGGTGGGGTGTAGTGTTAGAGTACGTAATGGGCCTAATGGGCCTGGGCTGGCGGTATAGCCCATTAGTCTTAGGGTTAATTAGAGATAAGGGTCGCTTGCTTAGGGGTCAAGTAAGCCTTGCTTGGGAGTCAAGTAAACCTCTCTATATAAAGAGAGGAGATGTATCACTCTAAGCAAGCAAGAATTAAGAAGGAAATCTTCAGTCCTTGGTAGCGCCCTCCTTCTAGCAGCGCCATAGCAGTCCTCTTGGCACCTTTTACGTTGAGATTGATCCATGCTTTGCGCCCCGTCTGCGAATTGGCAAGGGACATCTTCAGTCCTTGGTGTCTCACGTGTGTTCTGCACACGCGCGACGACTGGCTGCAATACAGATAGGTTGCATCCATAATACAGGCCATGGCTACGCCCTTCGATCCCAAACTTCTAGTACACGGTTACAAAGGACATGGAGCCTTCCTTTTGTGTTATGAAGGCCCATACTACTCAAAATTCATGGCGATTGATGATTTTGATCTAAGTTCAATGGAGTCTCAACCAAAACATACTACATGGAGCCTCAACCAACCTACCGTATCCCCCAAATCAAACACACCTAAGTTTCATCAAACCACTCGATCTGCTACTGTTTGTCTCACTAATTTTTCAAATCGTAGGATGGCTGCTGACAACAAGATGCATTTCCTGAAGCTGGAGGAGGAGGTGGTGATCCCGACTACGTTCAAATGTGCCATTACTTAGTAAGTTTCAGTGTTTCATCAACGCACTTAAAGTTCCAGTCCTCGATTTGTTGTGATGTCTCCCCTCGCCTGTCACACACCACACCCACTTATTTTATATTTCTCTATGATGCAGTGACTTGCTCTTCAAACCGGTGGTCTTGGGTAAGTTTTGATTCATTCTATCCAGAGTTACACACATGTTTTTCACTGAATTGTTTTATTGATAATATAGTTTGTGGACACACCTTCTCGTTCTGGAGTATTGCTGAGCATATGAGCATCTTAGTTGACACTCTATGCCCCTTGTGCAAGACGCAGTTTGCACATTTTCCAAAAATATGTGAGACTTATCATACTTTGGTTAAGAAATTGAAACCAGCGGAGTATGCAAGAGTTGAAGCGGAATTTTTAGGTGCGTAGCATTGACTACTCTAGTCTACTTTTGTCTTACCACACCTTACATTTTTTCAATTATATTGTTGCGATTGTCTTGCAGAACAAGAGAGAAGCTTGGGGAGATCATCTCCACCAGTTGATGGTATTAGTTTTATAATAGTTATCGAATTGACAATTTCTTTACTGTGTGCATTAAGGCATTAACTCCTTAAATAGTTGGTTTGCAGGATGAGCTTTGTTTTGAGTGTAACAAGCTACTATACAAGCCATCAGTCTTAAATTGTGGACACGGTATTAAAATTAGAGTTTTTGCCTACGTTTAGTGACTTCTTAATGTGAAAATTGATATTTTTTCCTTCTGTTTTTTTTTCTGAAGTTTGTTGCAAAAGCTGCTTGCCATCTAGTGATGGGCTATTGGCATGCAAGCGTTGCGGAAGTGTTCATCCAGGGAAGTTTCCCTCTGTGTGCATTTCTCTGGATGAGATCATCCAAGAGTTCTTCCCGCGGGAGTACGCTGCAAGGGCTGAGGCTGTTGGACTAAGTTTTGAGCCTTTATCATCGGGTAAGCATCGGGAACGTGTTCAGTTGTTTCTTGCCTTACTAAAATATTGATCACACTTGGGTGGGGGAGAGATAGGGGAGCTGGACTCAGGAGAGAGAGCTAGAGAGGTGTGCTGCATGTGGGCACACATCGTCACACTTGTGATTTAGGGTTGCTTATCTTACACTTCTATTGTTGGCAAAATGATAGTCTGGGCACAAAACCTAGGGTGTAGCATCCACCCTCGTCGACCTGATGTCCATATGGCGTATAGCCTGAAAATCTTGGTGTAGATTATGAACGGCAGAGACATGCTCACTGCTATGTGTTCCGTGGTGCTCTGCTCCGGAGCCACCGGTCTACACAAGAAACTAAAGTTGAATCGCTCTCAAACCAACTGCTTTGGAAACTTTAGGTTCAGAGTTTGATTATCACATTGCCTTGCCTGCGTTCGGTACCCTGGTGGTTTACTGAATGCGTGGTGCAGCCGTGAGGTCACCTTATCCACTCCGCAACTCACTAGGAATGCCATCTCTGCCCAAGTCTCTTCTCCTGTCGGGACACCTTAGTGGATTACTACCGTTTATGGGCAAATAAAGCTGAAACTGGTAAGATCTCCTTCCTGGCTGAGCCCCATGATGCTCACACGGCTTGCTCTTCCCGTGGATGCTTTGTGGATCTTCGACCCGGGACCGCACCAGATCGTCAGCCGCAAGCAGAATGCCTTCATGGGTGGGCGGTCATTGCATGATAACTTCATCCTCTTCCGAGAGACTGCACACTCTCTCTACAACAACTCGTGTGCTACACAAATTGGACCTATCCAAAGCCTTTGATTCAGTCTCTTCCCTGTCTTCTTTGAAGTGCTCAAGAGTTGGGAGCATCGGTTTCAGCGACCAATGGCGAGATTGGCTTGCAATCCTCTGGTCCTCAGCTAGCACTCGAGTCATGCTCAACGGAGTGCAGGTCCACCAATTTGGCACAGAAAGGGGCTGCGCCAAGGTGACATGCTTTCCCCAATGCTCTTCGTCATCGCGGTTGATGCCCTCAGCTGTCTTCTCCACCACGCCACCACACTTGGTGTCCTGGAGCAATTGCAAGCGCTGTCCCGTGGCCGGAGTTTCACTTTATGCAGACAACTGGGTCATCTTCTGCCATCCCTCCGTGCACTGGCGGAGCTTAGGCAAGGCCGAATGGGCCGTGGCCCGCCCAGCCCAGCCGAAAATGGGGAAGGATGAGATGAAATTTGGGCCTCAAGTACAAGTACTATGTGTAATTCTTTAGTCCGGCCCGCCCAGCCTTTTTCCTGTAGCTCCGCCATTGCCTCCATGCATGACCTCATTGCCTCCGTGAATTTTATCGCTTTTCGGTGAAGCCTCACATCGGTGCACCAATTACACTGAAAGCTTGGCCATGTCTCTGCACTGTTCACCCGATGAGGTGGCCTTGGTCGCCATCCAGCTTGGTTGTGGAGGAATTCCCACTTCCCTACCTCGGGTTCACCTCACTGTGCGCCGACCTACTGCTGCTATTCCCTATTATCTTGTGCTAGCCAGCGGAGTTTGGTGGAATTGGTGTCAAAGACCAGGAGCGTCCCGGGGTCGCTCTACACCCCCACTTGCTTTGGTTTAGACGCACAGACAGTCAGCGATCCTGGAGCGGCCTTGAGTTGCAGTTCTCAGCTATAGAGAAGGCCATGGTTTTCGTCTCCACCTTCATGTGTGTCAGGAATGGAACCAAGTCCCTCTTTTGGAAAGGTCGATGGCTGGATGGCCGTGCCCCCAGCAGGACTACACAACTGATTTATGGGCATGTGCCCAAGAGGCTTAGGAAGTAGAGGAAAGTGGCTATGGCTGCGCATAACCATTCTTGGATGCTCAACATCCACGGATTGCTTGGCTTGCGTGAGCTCATCCAGCCTTCACGCGCTGTGTCCCAAGTGCAATTCAGTGACCAACCTGATCACCTCCTTTGGCGTTGTACTGAGAGCGGCACCGTGCAAAGCCTCCTTCGGAGGTTCCACTGGATGCAGAGCTTGGAAGCTTACCTGGCCCTCGTGGGCACCGGCACCACGCGAGGTGAAGGTCTTCTTTCTGCTTGCTGCCCGTGATAGATTCTAGACCGCTCAACGGCTTGAACGCCGCAATCACCCTCACCAGCCAGCCTGCATGTTCTGCAACCAAATCCTTGAGACTATGGCGCACTTCTGGTCAAATGCTCCTTCGCAAGGCATGTGTGTAGGAAAGCTCTGGCTTGGACCAGGTTCCCTTTCCGTCCACTCGACCCCGGTGAGCCTCTTGTTGATCGATGGCTCATGGCCAGGGCTTGCTCGCCCAAGGATCTTCATAAAGGTGCCACCTTGAGATGTCCTTCTCACCTCCTGGATGCTGTAGAAGCACTGCAATGACTGCACTTTTAACAGTGCCAATGCGTGTGTTGTTGTGCTACTGGGGCTAATCAAGGACGAGGCCAAAGGTTGGGCCCAAGCCAGCGAATAGGGCTTAGGATGTGTTCGCCCGGGGAGTGGGATGTCTGCCAAACCCCAGCACTCTGTTTCATGTACCCTGCCCCTGCTTGGGGTTTTGTAGTTTTTTCTGTCTTTGTGAATATATTGAGACGCAAGCTTTGCGTTTTCACGAAAGAAAAACAAGATTGATTATATATAACAAAAAATGTTGGCCATCTAATCATTTTGCTTCTATTAATTCATTAATATGATTACTGTTTAGTTTGAGATGAAAATAAATCTATAATAATGAGTTGCCGTTCATGAACTTGTGTTTCTTGACGTTTAGGTAGTTCGCTCAACAATGATAGCAGAAGCATGCCTCACAGGGTTGGCAATGTGCACGTTGGTGTTGGATGTGACAATTGTGGAGTAAGTGAAGTTGTACATACCTAGATTATAGTTTGTAATGGCCACATTAGGGCACTCACAAACTTGCATATTATGTCAAACGTGTGTGCAGGCAGAACCGATTCGAGGTAACAGGTATAGCTGCATGGACTGTGCGGTGGGTTACGATCTTTGTGAAGACTGCCATTCAAAGGGGTCAACATGCGGGGGGCGATTTAACCAGCAACACCTGCCTGGCCATAGAATGGAAGCTAACAATACACTGCTCCTGAAAAATGTTATGGACTACAACAGTATCACAGATAATGAGCTATGGAACGACAATGAGCAGCCTCAGCCAGGGGGTGAGGAGCATGATGAGGATAATGGGGTGGAGGAATATGCGGAAGATGAGGAATATGAGGAAGATGAGGAGGATGTTGAGGATGTCGATGAGGAACGTACAACCTGCAGAATTGTGTAACTGCGGCTCATGTTGAATCGTGATGCCATATACTCATGTTGAATTCTTAAGTGATTATCGCTTCACTAAGAGTTGCTTTGTAACCAAACAATTAGGGATTTTAGTCTGATTAATGGATACAACATAATCTGGTAACTAAACTAGCTGAAAGTACCCTGTCCACGTTTGTTTGCTGAGCAGAATTTTCTTGTGCTATTTGAGCTCCTTCGACGAGCAGATCTTCACTTTTCCGGAGATATGTATGTCTGTTGCTTAGGATGCTTCGGAAGAACTAGAGCTAGCGAGAGTCGCCCTGCACGCTTTGGCTTCTGTAATTTTCCTTTCACCCAATCACATCAAAGCCATTGCGCACGCTTGGTTACCTGCATGACTTTTGACCTCCTTGCGCATTTGTGGCTGAGTTTATGCAATACAACCCAAAAAAAATGCTCTGCACCTTTAGCATATGTGGCTGAGTAGATACAAGCAAAAATATCATCAGACCCAATAACCATCGGGACAATGGCGCATCCTTGTGATGTCCACGTCGGACAGGAAGGACAAAAGGAACGCGACGCAGGAGTGCTGCTCAACATTGACAACCGGCCTGACTGTTGGTCATGCTTGCGTATTGGTCAGAATAATAGAGATCGATATCTAACCTAACCCGGGTCTCCTCGACGATTCCCTTCCCTCTTGCCCCGCTGGAATTGGATCCTCTACCATAGAGAAGGAAATTTAGAGAAGCTATGGTAAAAAAAAGAAGAAGACTAAAATGACTAAAATGATTTTGTAAATTGCTGATCTGATGTGTACATTTAGAGTAGAGGTAAAAACACACTAAGTCCTGAAACTTGTCCAACATGTGATGGTTTAGTTCTAAAACTTGCAAAAGTGAACTATGTAGTCCTAGAACTTGCACACAATGTGCAAATTTAGTCCTGAGCCAATCAGAGGTAACCAAGTGGCGCCAGCTGGCCCGGCCCATTCATCGCTGAACAATTCGCAGATACCTCCTGCCGTTTTGTCAATTCAACCAGTAGTATACCCATTGAATCCTTGAATCCGGCTGTCGGTTAACCCACGGCGGGCGGCACGGCCATGCCCACTGTGCCGAGCATCCGCACGGTGGCCGCCGTCTTCGGGCTGCTGCTTCTCGCCTTCGCGCTCTCCTCCACCGTCATCTACCTCGTCTCCCCGGCCCGCGCAGCCCCCCCCCCCAGCATCCTCCTCCTCAACCTCTGCCCCTTCTTTGCCAGGTGCCCGCCCGCCTCGCCGCTCCGCGTCTTCACGTAAGACACCCCCTCCCCCCGCGCTTCCACATCGCCATGATGACCGCCTCGAGGAATGGCCGCGGAGATGGGGGACTCCGAGGGGAACTCCACCACGTTCCTCGCGTGGCCGTCCTCCACGGGCAGGATCATGCGGCAACACAGCATGGAGTACTGGATGATGGCTTCCCTGCAGCAACAACAACAACAAGGAGGAGCGGCGAGGCCGTGGGTGTCGGAGGCCGTCCGGGTACGGGATCCAGACGCCGTCGAGGCCTTTTTCGTGCCCTTCTCCTCGCTCAGCTTCAACGTGCACGGCCGCAACATGACCGATCCCGATACCGAGGCCGACCGCCTCCTTCAGGTAGCAGACGCTCCTCCACACTCCCTTATCACACTGCTTTTGCTGGTAGCTCTGTCCTTTGGCCTAGAATGGATCATCTCGGCTCTGATTGAGACATCTCTGCTCTGAATTGTGTTTTGGACGCGTCTGGCTGGCGGTCGTTGGCTCGCTAGCGCTCGCGAGCGGCCGACCAGAAAAGGTAAGCAACTGTCCCCCTGGTCCTTCCGGGCCAGCTGTTCCCATGCGCTTACAAAGGAAAATCAGGATCCCCACCACCGGTCACTTTCACGTGATACCGATCAACTTCCAACGCCCCCTCGCCCACCCACTCTCCCCGCTGGTCGCCCAGCTTCTTCCCCACGAAAGAAAGGGATCCATGGCCATGAACCAAATCCTGTAGAGCTGACATGGCAAAGCACTCTAGGTGAGGAGATCTGGGTCAGAAAACAATAAGAGAAGAGAGGCTTACCAGGCAACACCATCAGGTGAGAAAATTCTTCTGCTCTCCCAGATCAAACCTTGTTCACTTTCCCCTGCCAGTTCCCCCTGAATCTCCCAAATCAAGTAAAAAATCTCCATGATTGGAGGGAGAAGGAAGACCAAGAAAAGCACTAGAAAATATGTGGATATGATATTTGCACAACTGATTCACTTTCCTGTGCAAGTAAACAATTGTTTCAAACCAACTATCTCCCGGATGTGTGCAACAAACACACCCAGGGAGAATTTTAGCAGAAAAAACTTGATGTAGTCCGTGTGCAACTAAACATGGTTTGAAAGCCAACTTTCCACTGGATGTGTGCAACAAGAACACCCATGGATGAGTTGCAGATACCATGGATTTCTAGCCAACTGAACATGTATTCTAGCCAACTAAACATGCATTCTAGCCAACTTTGTACCTGAATGTGTGCAAATAAACACAATAAAAAATCTGTAGTATCAGTGGAAACAAAAAAGCATAATTGTGCAGCTAAACATGCATTCTAACCAACCTGTGCATGGATGTGTACAAGTAAATACAAATAAAACTGTAGTATCTGTGCAAAAAACACCTGATGTTTGTGCAACCACACACATGATCCACGCCAACTTCTCTAGCGAAGTGTGCAACAGACAAACAAACCAAGCTAACGAAACCACAAACCATAGTAATCGTCACGCATATAATCTTGTCCCACACAAATTGCTGACCTAAAAGTGGAAAATATGTTCAATATACTAAAAGTAAAAACAGAAAAGCCGATGAAATCTATAACTATATGCTGTCATGTAAATCTTCTTTCTTCTTTCATCTGGACCTGTCATCTCAATTGTAGCATCAAATTATGTGCAGAAAAATCTACATCAGCTCCTTGCCAAACAAACCTGCACATCATTACAACAACACAAAAATGTGCGAAAACATTGAAGTAAAAGTCCTATTTTCTATCTGTGCAACCTATTTACTGCAGAATGTGCAACAAACACAACCATTCTGTGCAAACAAAATGCAAACCTGTTGTAAATAGATTTTGATAAAAATACAGAGTTTGTGCAACTAATATGTCATACTGGTGTGCAAGTACTTATGATTGTGTCGTTGCACAAAAACAAAATGTTTGTAGGTTGTTTGAAACTCTTTGATGATTAATTTGATCATTTCACTTCCATCTTTTTAATGTGAAGGGCGCGTGTAGCAGCATCAAAAGAAAGATGATTGATCTTAATGAGTTTCCTCCTGATCTCAATGAGCTTCCTCATGATATGGATCAACATCAACCCAGCATACCACTAGGAGGTAATGCTGATTATGAGACAAAAAATGTGCACTCCATGCAACCAAGACCTGAGCATAGTCCTATGCGCCATGAACATGTGGCAGGGCAGTCATCAACCTGTGGTGTCCCTGTAGTGGTGTCTTTGCAGTCAAATAGCCATACTCTAAATGACACGGGCACTTGCTGGTCCAACCAGGACTAATAGCTAGGAGCTCGAGTTGTTGATAGTGCTGTACAAGGAGAAGAAGGAGAGGATGAGGTTGGGTCTCAGCCCATGGAACCCTATGTTGACATGAGGTTTGACAACCTTCAAGTTGCTAAGGATCATTACAACAGCTACGCCCTACAGATGGGTTTCTCTGTCAAGATGAACACCTCGAGGCGGACACTTGACACAAATGAATTGGTAAAACAACAGTTTGGTTGTGAAAGTGCAACTAATCCTCGGGTGGTTCTGGTAATTCATTACAACATATAGCTCATTGAACTACAAGTTAAATATTTTAGAAAGTTCAATGATTGGCATGTGAAAGCACAAGTGCTCCCTGGGTGATTTTGGTAATTAATGTCAACATATTTCTTGTTGGACTAATACTTTCATCTTGTATATTTCAGATAAGTTCAACAGTGGAGTGGCATGGACAAGAGGATGTGGAACCCCTTCAAGATGCTAAGGACAAAGGATTAGCTCAAGCTCAAAGCTCAGGACTCTACATTTCCTATTTTAGTGATCCAAGATCACATTGAGTCCATAGGAAAGCCAATACTATTAAAAGGGGATGAGGTGTTGCTTAATGGCTTGCTTGCTCAAAGTGCTTAGTGATATGCTCCAAAGCCCTCAGCCACTTTCGCATATCCACATATGTCCCAAACCAAAAGTCAAACTCGGCTCAACCAATTTGATCCATCCGGCGCCACCGAGTTCATTTGACATAGCCACTGCCAGAAACCCTAATTAGTTCGGTCACACCGATGGGATCTCGGTCTCACCGAGATGGGCTTGCAAACTCTCCGTTGTCTATTGCAATACGGTCACACCGAGTTTGCCTGACCAACTCTCTGTTTTACTTATTACCAAACCGGTCCCATAGAGTTGTGTAATCGGTCAAACCGAGATGAGATTTTACCCTAACCCTTGCACATCGGTCCCACCGAGTTGATCATATCGGTCCCACCAAAATTGCCTAATGGTCATATATGCACTGAATCGGTTCGACCGAGTTTTCTGATTCGGTCCCACCGAATTTGGTATAATGTGTGTAACGGTTAGATTTTGTGTCAAGGCTATATATACCCCTCCACCCTCTCCTCATTCGTGAGGGAAGCCATCAGATCTTGCCTACACTTCCACTACTCATTTTCTAAGAGAGAGCCACCTACTCATGTGTTGAGACCAAGACATTCCATTCCAACCATATGAATCTTGATCTCTAGCCTTCCCCAAGTTGCTTTCCACTCAAATCATCTTTCCACCAAATCCTATCCTATGAGAGTGAGTTGAGTGTTGGGGAGACTATCATTTGAAGCACAAGAGCAAGGAGTTCATCATCAACACACCATCTATTACCTTTTGGAGAGTGGTGTCTCCTAGATTGGTTAGGTGTCACTTGGGAGCCTTCAATAAGATTGTGGAGTGAACCAAGGAGTTTGTAAGGGCAAGGAGATCGCCTACTTCGTGAAGATCTACCCTAGTGAGGCAAGTCCTTCGTGGGCGATGGACATGGTGGGATAGACAAGGTTGCTTCTTCATGGACCCTTCATGGGTGGATCCCACCGTGGACTCGCGCAGCCGTTACCCTTCATGGGTTGAAGTCTCCATCAACGTGGATGTACGATAGCACCACCTATCGGAACCACGACAAAAACATCCGTGTCTCCAATTGCGTTTGCACACTCCAAACCCTTCCCTTTACATTTTTGCAAGTTCCATGCTTTACTTTCTGCTGCTCATACACTCTTTGCATGCTTGCTTGATTTGTATTGTGAATGGTTAAACTTGTGCTTAAACCCCACCCAAACTTGAAAAACTTAAAAACTGCCAACTTTGTGTGTTGAGTGTCTAATCACCCCCTCTAGACACCTCTTCTCGATCCTTTCAATTGGTATCAGATCTTTGGTCTCCATTGCTTTGGTTTAAACAGCATTGGAGGAAGATGGATGAGTCTACTTTGGTGAGTCTTAGACATAGAGTGCATATACTTGATGGAGAGTACTTTCATGAGTGAAAAAAATGAGATGCGTGTGATTTTCAATGAATATCATTTGAACAAGTACATTACTAGACCTTGTGCACCTCATGTTGATCCTATGCATCCTACCCTTGATGAGTCAATTGACATGATTCACAATCTTAGGACTGTTAATCTTATCACTAGAGGTTTGCCTAGAAACTTGATAGGTTACTTGCCTACTCTTAAGTGTTCCTCACCATATGGAAATCTCTTGAGAAACGTTTTCCAAATTATTCCTTGCAAAATCTAGACGAAATTCTCCATAAGTCTATTGCTTTGAGTAAGATGAATTCCAATGATCCTATGTTTGGTGATTGTCTATTTGAGCTTACAAATCTTATGCGTGCCAAAGGAGATGTTGGAATTATTAGCAATATTATTTCCGAAGCTATTAGAATTCATAAAGAAGATCATTGTCAAACTCACTCTAATGAATCACCCTCTCTAGGAATTGATCCACCACATGACGATGTTGAATATGGATACTATGGTGAGGATGATGATAGTGACTTTGATCTTGATGATGCAATGAGACACTTTGGTCTTATGGCAAATCTTCGGGGATACATGGCAGGAGGAAAGGAATGGGTTCTTGATAGTGGATGTACTGATCACATGACCGGAGATAAAGATATGTTTCGTGAGGCTAAAAATGACGGCCCTCGAAAGTATGTCACTTTTGGTGATAACTCAAAGGGTAAGGTGGTTGGCCTTGGTAAGGTGCCATCTTACATGATAGCTCCATACAAAATGTCATGCTCATTGAATATCTTGGCTATAATCTGCTTTCTGTTTCTAGACTAGCTGACTTTGGTTTCAATGTCCTATTTACCGAAGTAGATTGCCAAGTGTTTCATAGAGATAATCGTAAAATGGTCTTTACCGGTATACGCAAAGGTGATCTATACATTGTTGGTTTCACTAAAAAGGTTCAACCTAGAACTTGCTTAATTGCTAAATCCTCTAAAGGTTGGTTGCGGCATAGACGGTTAGGTCATGTGGGCATGCGAAACTTTGACAAGCTTATTAAAGGTGATCATATCCTTGGTATCAAAGATGTCATATTTGATAAGGATAGACTTTGCAGCGCTTGTCAAGCAGGTAAACAAGTTGGAGGAAGGCATCCCATGAAGAACAT